CCCTTTTTCTCATTTCTGACTTCGCCCTCTCCTTGACCATTTCTTTCACCGTTTCCTTCGTGCTTCCTTCGCCAAACGATGTCAGGTGACATTCCCATTCCCACCTCTGAGAGCGGGAAACAACTCGCTGCGATGTTCACAGCTGTCGTCGCATCTCTAGACTTCCCCGCCCGCCACCACCTCTCCGAAGTCGTTTCGCACTGCCATACGCGTCGCTATCCGGTCCCTGATACTCGCGTCACTCCAATCTTTTTCTTCGAGGAGCGTGATGAACGCGCAGAGAAAATAGCCCGACCTCATCTCCACACACTCCACGCCCAAGCCTCGAACCCACACCTAAATCCAAACAATGCCCGTCCTGCAAACATCGGACAAGCACCTCTCAATGAATTTTGCCCGGCACTCGACGAGAAGACCGTGTTTCTGAGGATGGATCCCAAGACAAGGACGGAGTACGTGCGCACGAGACTGTACGGCTGTGACGAGAAGCTAGCAGAAAGAGGGTATAGATACTTCTACAACTTAAACAGACCGGACATGCCTATAAAGGAGCCGTGCCAGCAGGATCGAGAGAATTCTTTTGAGGAGAGGCAGCCGATCTTCAGCTTGGAAGAATCGGAGCAGGACATGTCGGACGAAGAGTTTTCGGATGGTGAAATGATGCATTCGGACGATGAGGAGTCTACATTTAGCCGCATCTCCGTCATTACGCGTGAGAGCGAGCTGGTTCAACCGAGTCTTGACAAGCGCCCGTACTTCGTTGAAACAAGCGCAGCGTTGGACTTTTCTGCATAGGCAAAGCATCTCGCTCGCTGCGAGGGTCTGCTGCTTGGACGGGCTGTTCGGCAGCTTAATATTTATCAATTCATCACCACTGACTCCAAAATATTTATAAAGCATTCATATTCATGCCCATTTTTCATATTGAGAAATAGTTCCCCGGCTAGGCACTTTCCACGCTTGATGCTCTGATTCTACCGAGCTTTATGCATTCAACTACCGGCTGTATATGTTCACCACGACCTCTTCACCGCGATTGGTGTGAATGGTACGGTAGGGCCAAACATACTTTGATGTCGAGGAAAACACATCTATCTGTTGCCTATCGGAGCATTTCATGTCGGTCACATAGAGGACAAAATTAGGCAGGCCTTTTTGTGGCCAAGGAGCAGTGTACGGAAGTAGCGGCACGGCAGGACGTTCCGGCTGGAGTCCATAGCTTCACCATCCTGCGCATCCAGCCAACAGGGTCGAGCGAGCAAATCCCTCCGACTGTGACATCATTCCATTGTGCTGTATGTACGGTATTTCCACAACTGTCGGTTCAAATGCATCACGGTACCCCAAAACGCAGTAATCGTCT